TATATATATATATATATCAATGTTAAAAATAACAATAACGTATTATGTAATGCTCTACCTCGTGTTAAGGGTTAAGGGAAAAATGCAAAAAAATAACGTAACGCATGATGTAAGTTATTTTATTTATTAATTATTTAGATATTTTATAAATACAAACTATTCATAATGACTTTAGTAATTAATATCATCAAAATTTTCAAGTATGAAGGAGAACTGACAAAAGTTACAAGAGTAACGATTTAGAAGGCTTCATCTTCATCGAAAAGAGTTAGGATTTAGAAGCTAGAGAGGCGTTGGAGGTGAAGACAGGGTTAGGATTTTCTTTGTCGGCAAGAGGAGATATATGACAAGGAGGGCATGGAGAAAAGCCTTGTCATCAGCGAAGCTAGAGGAAGAGAAGAGCCTTTTCGTCAGCGAAGATAGAGGATGAGAATAGCCTTGTCATTGGCGAGAGGCCTCGTCTTCGTTGAAGGCGCGGGAGGAAGAAGAGACCGAGAGGTTTTTTCGTTGAAGGAGTGAGAGGAGGTGGAGGGGGAGGAGATGAGGAAGACACTGGAGATGGGGTCAGGAGATCACTAGGGTTCTTTCACGTGAATGAAATTGTGGTTGGGAGATTCAATCAGAAACTTATTTCGGTTACTGTGATACTGATTTAGATGGTGGAGACTTCGCCACGCATCCAAATATGATCATCAATTTAATTCAATTTAACAAGTATTAAATAACAGTTAAGCTAATGTGGATAAAATGTGTTTTTTGTGTTATTTTCTGCGTTAAATACAACATGAGTTTTCTGCTTGAATTTTATAACACTTTTGCTCTGTTAGGTGTTGAAAAGGGTTAAAACAGGTTTAGAAATGGGTTTTTTTCTAAATTGATATGTGTATGCTATGTATATTTATATGTATTAATGTTAATATTTTTTTCATTTACATAAGATCAATATATAAGAAATAGATGTGTAGTATATATGTCCAAGAAGTGTATGATGATTGTTTTAAATTAAAACATGTATTATATAATTGGGTATACCCTTGATGTATATATTCAAGAAGTGTCCAAGAAGTTTCGCTACGGTTACTGGTACGTGTCGGTTATTGGTACAGATACGGCTTCCAATTTGAGGTACCCAGGTAACAAAATACAGGAGAATAAAAGAAAAAAAAAATCTTTGGAAATGATTTGACTGCCTAAAATCCTGATAACGCTCTGGCATCCATAACTTAATTCCAGCTTGAGGACCAATTGATTCCTGGAACTGAAAAAGTCTAACCCCCTGAAAAAGTGTCATCATGTTATTTATCTTTTTAATCACCCATTCAGAATGTAAACTCCTTTTACTCTGCAAGAAACCAAAAGTTTTATCTGATGTCCGTCATGTCTCCTCTTCTTTTACCTTCTCCTCTCAGTTACTACCTTGCTAAAAGCCTTCTCTTCAAACTCTTTCTTGCCCTCACTGCTTTCATCTTCTAATCAAAATCATCCGTGTCAGCGAGCTTGAATCCTGTGACAATTTTGTCGCATTCGTTACTTGAACTAATGGTGATCCAACTTCCACAATCTCACCGTCCATCCTGCAAGGTTGATGTTGCATCCTTAACCGCTGTTGGCCCTGTCAACTTCAATCAGATCCTTAAAGCTGCCGCAGCCTACAAGAAAGTCGTAGTCTGCAGCTTGGCAAGTACAATGTCACAATGGAAGTGGGTCAGTCTCTGGGTTGTGGTCAGCCCATCATGGCTCAACAGCGGAACACTTAGTTTGTTCAATTTCTATGCATTTCTGCACTAAACTGTTGTCTGTTAAATTTGACTTTAGTAATGCAATGCCAATGTACTAGGCTTTTGCTAACTTTTTGTTAAAAGTTGATATCTTGATCTGCTTGGTTCAGCTGAAAAAGGCTATCATTTGATCACTACTATTTCATGAAATAGCTTGTCTTTCTATCAGTTACAGGTGCCTTACAAGTGTTAGTCTTGACTAGACTGATTAATTTGATTGCTTGCAAGTCTGTTTTGGTTGTTCTAAAATGTAGGAAACCAGATGCTTTTAGTTGATTTGTGCTAGTTTCCTTTAATGCAATTCAGATGCTCTGAGCTACTTCAGAGAAGCTCTATTGCTAATTGATGTATTACAGTTTTCAAAAGAGAATTCACAATTTTATCATTATTTTTTCTGAAATGATTATCTAAGTCTATCTTGACAAACACATCTCATGCAATTAAAATAGTCTGAGCTACTTCAGAGAAGCTCTATTGGTAATTGATGTATTACAGGCTTCAAAAGAGAAGTCCACAATTTTATCATTGTTTTTTCTAAAATGAACATCTAAGTCTATCTTGACAAATGCATCCCAACTAGGCTGGATCCTCTTTTAATTACTTAAAGTTCAATGTACTTTTCCAAATTGTTGTGAATGGCATGATAATATTCTTAAGTAAAATTGTTTTGTTCTATTAGGTCTATCATCCATGTTGCAAATGCACATATAGTAAGCTTCTTGATCAATTTTTTTGTTCAAAAGTTGCTTGTTTTCTTTCATGTTAAAAGGCATGCCAGCCTGGCAATTATCCCTTAAACTGAGAATCTACAAATACTATCCCTGATGAGTACACATTTGAGAAGTTAATTAGCTTTGATTTCTTTGTGTAATTCTTATGCAAATCTTCTGCATACTTGTTCCCCTCAATTTTGCTTGCAATAATTCTAGTTGAAAGAAATTTAAAAAGTTCTACAAAGGTTTACTGCCTCTTTATTGTTTATCACCTAAGTTGCAATCCGGATCATATAACATAAAATTGCTGTTTTTAACAGTTTTTACCTTCTAGAAAAGTGAAAGAAAAGGCAAAACGGCTGAGAAGCAGTCTAACTGCCAACATCCTATCAAGCAGTGGCAGTCCTTCGAAAAATATCCTTGCCATGACATTTAGACAGGTTGTCTTGCAAACTCTCTGGAGTTATAAACTCTCATTTTTCAGCCCGGGAACTGAGAGGGATATGGAGCATCTTGCCAATCCTAGAGAGGTCATAATATAACTTATTTTGCCTTTATTTGATCTTTCACTATTAATTTCATATACTAATATACTTCTGATTTAGCAGGTCCTACCAGATTTTACTGTCAGTTCATCGGATAAAAGGTTTCTATCTGAACTTGCCGAAGCGCTTTGTTCTTGTACTCTTGAGAGTACAAAAAGATTTTACCTCAAAAATATGGGTGGTTTACCTTCAGGTAGTGTATTTGGTTGGTCACAGAAGCCCTCAGTTGATTCTTCCATTTGTGTACATAGACTTTCTGAAGGTGAGATAACGAAAATTGCGAGGAAGCAGACAGAAAAGTTCGACTTGGTTAAGGAAAAATCTGCATATAGGCAGAAAATATTAAATCACAGATTGTGGGAGCCACTAAAATTTTCACAGTTGAATAAATTTGGAGGTCCTGGTTTCAGTGAATGGGTGAATGAATTTGTTCCCGCCTATAGTCTGCAAATTGATGCCAGTGTATTTAAGGATGCAAAGCTTGAAGGATGGCAAGAATTGTCTAATAATAGGTGGGAAGTTCTTTTAACGCACTTCCAAATGGTATATCTATTCTTTCCTGGGACTTATTATCTTCTGCTTAGACCTTTGCACTTAATTCTAACATTTAATTCTAACATGCCCACATTATGTACTTGTTCATCTTTGCATTCAACTTCAAGCTACATAGGAAACCGAAATGCCAAACATGTAATTTTTGTTATCTTTGTAATTTTTATAAAATTTGAACTACATATTTTGTGAGCCTCTTTGTGTCGCAGACAATGGTAGCCACTAAGATTGATTGAGTGCTTACTTTGATGAGCACCCTTTAGAACTTGCATAATCCATATCTATAATGTTCTTGAGTTCAATTCGTCCTTTTTAAACTATCAGATCCATGAGGAAGAAGAGATCATAATACATTCAGATTAGATTTGGTAAGTCTCATATCTTGAGAATCATGGTTGAAATTTGACTTTAAGAGCAATTACAACACCTTTTCTGTAGCAATGAAGTTGAGTGTCCTCTCTATATGCACTTTATGTCTCTCATTGTCTATGGATCACTGTTCGTATATTGTGGAATTTGTCAGTCGAGGTAACTTTCTATGTAATTGAAGTATCGAGTTTAGAGACCTCATGGTTATTCTGGTTACTTACAATAGCAATTGAATTGCTATGCTTGTCTAGTCTAATTTTCACCTTGATGTGTAGGTTGAACTGATGTTTAGCCATTTCTATGACTGCAGGTCACCAAAACAGTTATAAGACTATCCATTACAGAAAGTAAATAAAAAAATTGGGTTGTGTAGAAAATTGGCAGAACGAGATGTCAGTTTTTAGGTGGAGGTACTGACTACAAAAGATAATTTCGATTTATAGCATGTTTAATATTCTTAAATCACAAGATTTTTTGGTTATTGCAGTCATCGTCCGTTGCAGGTATTTTTTGTTGCTCTAGTAATTAGAAAGTTAATTACATAGAGATGTTAACAGGCTGCCTGATGAGTGATAATCAACACTCAAGCTATTAAAAAACTATATAATGGATATCCACAGAGATCACCACCTGAAGGGTTATTCATTCCATCCAAGAGCAGTAGAAACCACCTAATCTTTCATCGGCATAGAGCAGTATAATCACATCTCCTGAAATTGAGCTCTCCGTCCTGCAGATCTAAGGAGTAGAAACAAACTCTGCATTAGAAAGTACTGCAATGCTGATTTTGACGGTTATTTCGTAATGTAGTTGCACTAGTTAGTTATTATAAAATGGGGACACATATTACTTTCTGCTTGGTAAATGAATGTCAGGAATGTTATTTAAAAAAAAGATGAAGTACTAACAGAAAATAGGTACTGTACCTTTCAGTTGCAGACTTGCAAGATAATGGAATAGATGATAATATAATAAGCTAAAAACATGGGCTTTCTTTTTTATTGTATTGGATTTAGTTTAGAATTTAAAATGAATAAATTTTTTATGTTCCACTATTTGAACACTATCATTCCTAAGACTCTTAGTGCAACTCAGGTTGAGTTGGTAAGCATCCTTGACATGCATTATGAAGATCAATACACTCTTCCAGACAAAGAGCTATCATGTGGTTTGACTACACAATCTCCTATCATCTCTAAAAAGAAGGTTTGTAGATTCTTATTATTGTCCTTGTTGTTTCCTCTATTTTCAAACAAATCTGTCAACAATGCAGGGCTAATTTTATTTTATTTTTTTCTTCATATTATTTAGGCCTTGTTCTCATCTACTTACTCCTGCTGGCTGCAGAACTCTTTATGGAAACTGCTATTTGTTTCAATGGCTGGCGGATGCATTCTCATTTTTGTTAGTTTTCTTGCTCAAATATATTGGCCAACCCTCCTCAAGGCTAGAAAAGTTTCAGTTGGAAGCAGTGTTCCTCAAGTATCTGAAACTTATATGTCCTGTCTCAAGTCTCTTGAAGCTGTCGAGGTATGTTTGAAAAAGATCATCACAAATTTGTTAGTGCCTTCTACTCTAATTTAGAAGTTCCAAATTTTGTATCAGATAATGCAAATCTTTAATATTGAAGTAGGTGGAGTTAGATGAATGTTTAATATCAAATTAATTTTGTTCCTTGCACAATAATCTTCCCTATGTTTAGGTCATTCCCCACAAGTGAGCCATTGCATTACAATAATCATAACTTTTCTCGCCACTATCAGGAAGAATACATTTGAGATCGTAGGTGAGTTCACCCGAGAAATTGCACCTATTGGCCACCATTTATCATTGCCTTTATTTACTAGCATATATTGCCATCTAACATGTCCTCTTTAGCCAACTAGTCTAGTCTCTAGTCACTGAATTATTTTTTGGAATTTGTGGAACTGATCGTCTTCCTTTGATGACTTTAAATTTTAGGAGAAGTTTGGTTGAAGCCCCTTGTTTAACTCTGAATTTGTAGGAAACGATTTGACTAGAGGCACTTTTAGCCACACCTCTGAGATCTGGAAAATTTTGAACTAGTTGCTTGTACCTTTTGAACCAAATGTTAAAGTGCTTAAACCAAACTAAAAAATGAGAGGACTACATCAATAAGCGCTTTAATTATTTAAGATAGGGAAAATGAATTTAGAGAGATAAAGCTGGCTGGCTGGTCCTCTTTTTCCTCAGCTTCGTTCTGGGTCAGAAATGTGTATTGGGGATGTATTCTGGAACTTATTTGATCAAATGTTTTTCTCCAAAATGGGAGTCAAATGGGGGATCTAAACCTAATTTCTCCTAATTTATTTAGTGTGAAATTTAACAATCTTAGGGTGAATTTTGGTCCATTTGAACTGGTAGATGTCACTGAAGATGGAGCATGTAATAAAAATCAGTGAATTACTAACTCTGAATTTTCATGCACAGGGTTGAGAAATGACCACCTGTATGAACTTGTACTAAAGTAACCTTCTTCCCCCTTGTTTCTGGTATCATACAAATGTCTTTCATTGACACCTGCTTCCGATTGAGTCCTGGAAAAATGTTGTTTCTTCTGACCATGCATTATTTCTTTTAGCATCGCTTTATTCATGTGGTTAATCTGATTTGATTCTCTATTGAATAGGTGGAAGCTTTGTGCAAGTCAGTTATCGAGAAGATCAAAGATGAACTTTGTTGGTCAGGAGATATAATGTTTGACAAAATTATTGGTGCCTGGATCGGAAAGCTTCCTAGCTATTTGAAGGAACGTGACATCCTTCTGAATTCTTCTAGTGCAGGGGAATTATTCACAAATTGTTCCAATGTAGATTCACAGAGTCATACAGAATTGACAACAAATGTCTCTGGTGCTCCAGAAGCAGACAATTTGGCTATGCCGACAACAGCACAGGAAGTTGCTAGTTATCAGGTATGTCAGGTCTTTTTGTTGCACAGGACATTGCTAGTCACTGCACACAATTATACGGTCCCTAGTTTTACCTCATTTTTCAGATGAAGTAGAAAATTCAAATGCTTCAATTTCAAGTATTTTGCATGAAATGATAGATTTTGGTGTTCTGGGCTGCCTATTCATATTTTGATATGGAACGTTTTATTGATGGATGTCCGTTTCCAATATACATTATTTGATTTGAAAATTAATTGGTTATCTGATTGTAAAGAATGCGATAGTTCTTTTTTTCTTATGTACAGTTGACATTAGAAAGGATCCTCTTATGGATTTTAGGCAGTAATGTGAGCATACATGTTTTGTGACTCGTATTTCGGTTTCTCTCCATTTTCTTTTATTTATTTCACGCACATCTCATTTTTTCACATGCATTTAGTTAATGAAGAGAAGCAACATATGTGAAAAGTGGTGTTAATATTGTTCGATAAATTGGCTTTGATTGAACTGAGAATTTTTGGTTCCTCTTCAGGACTTGCAATTAAATCCTTTATACAGTAGTTAGAGGATGCATTATTTTCATATAATGCTACTTTGTGCCCTTGTTTCCGGATCCACAGAGAAAAGATTACCTAGTATTAGGGCATTTGGTCTCTTTCGATATTGGTGGAGATTAAGCGTATTTATGCAAGTTCTCTAATTCTTATATATTGCTTGTGATTTCTTCTCATGTTTTTTCAGGTTGTCATGTCAGGAGATGGTAAGGTAATTGGGTTTCAGCCGACGAGCCGGGTGGCGGTTAACCATTGGGCATCTAATCCTCTGTCCAAGCTTCTATATGGAGGTCGGAAGCTTTCTCCTGGTAAGCCGATAAAACCTTACAACAATTTCCTTTTCCTTATCCCTTACTCCTGTACTCATTTTAAATTTCTTTGGAGCAGGTATTTTGGAGCCAAGCCTTAAAATTCCTCATCCAAGTGAAGTTGTTCTCATTGAATTGCTAATGTCGGTAAATCCAGAATCCCGGTTTGCATTGGCTAGGCCAATGCAATGACCATACAGAGTTAGGCGCGTGAGCACCCTGAGTTTTGTAGTATTTATCTATTTCGTGTTTAGATATTGATCTCTGATTCATCAGTTTACGCATCAGGAACTGACTGTTGCTAATTTGGCACAGATGGCACAAACTGCAGGCGCTGTTAAAAAAATGTACCAAGAAAACTGGCCATAGTTGACGCCAATCAAAGGAGCTGACTGCTGTTCATATACGTGATTCAAGCCCTTCATCGTCCTGAATTTAAAGGAGATATAAGTGGATATTTACTTCCATGTGATTCTTGGGAGGATCTCGGTCATGGAAATTTGCTGCCTTTTAACGGGATTTATGCAAGGAGCACGCAAAGTGAGTACCTGTGTCATTATGCTCGGTGCTTCGGTCCTCTTTTATTTCAGAAAAGGGGAAAACGATTACCACAGAGGAGGACATTTTTTTCAAAAACACGTCACTGGAAGTTTTGTAACAGGTAGTTTATTCCCTGTCGTAGTACTTTGTACCGTATCTCAAGGATCATTGCTTCTGTTACGAAGCGTGCCACTATATTATTCTCCCCGCCCCCCCCCCCCCCCCCTTTTAGTTTAGTTTTGTATTACTCTTTCAAGGCCTTCAACTTCGGCTTTGATATTTCGAAAATTTGTTGTTTGAAACTAAATTGTAGACATTTCGCGTCATCCTTTTCACGGGCTGTTCTGGGTTGTTATATTTTGAAGATCGGACAAATTTTTGAAATCAATCATTTTGAGAATTTAATCAGCAAAAACGACCCAATTAGAAAGCAATTAGCAAAATCGACCGCTCATCGTGAGAGAACGGTCGATTTTGTTGAAATGTAATTTTTGCGATACATGGGACTGCTAGTCCCGTGTAATTTAAAGCCTTAATTAAGCGGTCAAATTATACGGGACTAGTAGTCCCGTCCATTTTTCATTTCCTTGGCATGACTAATGATGGATTAGCAGACCCTAATTACACGTAGTCCTGTGTAATTAAAAAAAACCCTTCAACAAAATCGACCGTTTTTTGCTCGCGAGAGCTAAAAACGATCGATTTTGCTTATTTTTAAGGGAGAATGTCGTTTTTGCTGATTAAATTCTCAAAATGGTTGATTTCAAAAATTTCTCCTTTGAAGATCTGAATCCTTTATTCTTATTTTTTATCTATTGATTGATTGTGATTGATGACATTTTCTTGCTAGAGACCATCTGGATATGTGGTTCTTTTAGGGTACATGATGTTGTGCACTTAAATGTTGTGAATTAATGAAGGCTATTTACCTATTGAAAAATATGTAATGGCTCTTATTTGTTGGATTAATGTGCATCAAAGACTATCTATCCTTCTATCGTGTAATATAAAGAGATTTGGCGACTAGTTTATGTGGGGAGCATTGATTTGTCGATGATGTACCATTGATGTAAAATATCTCACAGAAATTCTAATCTGAAGCATAAGATCATTATCAAGGCCACTGGGCAATTTTTCACATATTAACCATCATTTTTAATTCTATATCATAATGTTTCTTTACGTACAAAAGGGTGCTATTGTTCGATAGCAAATACATCTCAAAACTTTTCAATCATTAAAATCGAATAATTTCTAGCTGATCAACTCCTGGTTGGATTTTGAAGTTGTTTCCTTTACTTCTATATATATGTTCGGAGTTGAAAACTCCTTTTTTTTTAAATTGACTTTAGTCAAATTTGGTCATTTTCAAGTACGTTACCTTTTCTAATTAAATACAAAAATTGAATTCTAGCAAAATTGGTCTCCAAATGATTATATCAATATATTTAATCGGAAAAGTAAAATTTATTCATTAAAATTCAAATGATAATAATAGTAATAATAATAATTTGATCTTAGTTAAATTTAAAATCATTAATAATATAAAAGGACAGGAGAGTGAAATTGAAAAGAAATTGAAGCTTCTGTTCCCCTTTATTAATCCGAAGGAAAGTAGACGTGAAACAATTTTTCTTATCAATAATATGATCTTAGTCAAATTTAAACAATAATAATAATATGATCTTAATCAAATTTAAAAGTTCCTGTAAAATAATAATAATAATAATAAAATGATCTTATCATCTTAGTCAAATTTAAAATCATTAATCATTAATATTTAAAAACGACAAGAGAGTGAAATTGAAAACCCTCTAAGATAGAAATTTTGAAGCTTGTATTCCCCATTAATCTGAAGAGAAGTAAATGCAAAACAAATTTTCTAAATAGAATCAGTTTTTGAGTTTGGGGAAAGTAACAGGATAAAATTACTGTTTTAAGTATCAATTATCATAGTGTTAAATTAATGTTAATTCGAAAAAACTAGAAGTTTAAATACAAAAAGGGTGCCACTTCGGGTATTAAAATGCAAAATAAGCCTCCAAATAAATTTTGTTTTGAAATGATTAGCAAAAATATAGAAATTTGTTTGAAACTCATCCATAGGCCAAATGCCTATGATATATATTTATACTAGTCAATGTGAATAGGTTGAGTACCCAAGAGCCACCCCCACTTAGTGAGGTGTTACACCACCATAATGGGGTATGAATGGAGGGATAATGAGGGGGGAGGCCAAAGGCCTCCCTCATCTCATAATACTCCCCCTTATCCATCAATTACCTTGGATTTAGCTTATGAACACTTCAGGGTTTGTAAAGCTAATGAGGTGGATACTTCTGGATCCAGAGTAAACTTGTTTGCCTCGTTAAAACCTTAGCTGTGGAAAACCCAGTGGGAAAAAACCATCAGCCTATGGAAAAAGAGTACAACCCATAGGTTACTCCCCCTGAACCATACAAGCTTCAGGCTTGTAGGTCTTTCAGATGTCTCATCCCTATTCCTTTTACAAGTTTTACAAAAGTACATCTAGGCAGAGCCTTAGTGAACAAGTCAGCTAAATTATTACATGATTGGATCTGCTGTACTTTAACTTGCTCCTCCTCTTGAAGATCGTGCGTCCAGAAAAACTTGGGAGATATGTGATTCGTCTTGTCACCCTTGATGAAGCCAGACTGAAGTTGAGCAACGCAGGCTGCATTGTCTTCAAATATAGTAGTTGGCTCAAGGTCACCAGTCTTCAGGCCGGTAGACACTAAGATGTGCTGAATGACAGAACGAAGCCAAACACATTCTTTGCTGGTTTCATGGATCGCGAGGAGTTCGGAATGGTTGGATGAGATTGCTACAGTGGTTTGCTTGACAGACCTCCAGGAGATGGCCGTACCACCGAATGTAAACACAAATCCGGTTTGTGATTTCTCGGTGTGGGGATCAGACCTGTAACCTGCATCTGAATAACCAATTAAGGTGGGAGACCCACCCTTCGGGAAATATAATCCCAGGTCTATAGACCCTTGGAGGTAGCGCAGAAGATGCTTAACTCCATTCCAGTGGCGCTTTGTGGGCGCTGCACTGTATCTGGCTAGTAGGTTAACTGAAAACGCTATATCGGGACGCGTACAGTTAGCCAGATATAATAGTGCTCCAATGGCACTGAGGTAAGGTACTTCAGGACCTAGCATTTCCTCCCCCTCTTCCAGCGGACGGAAGGGGTCGTTCTTTACATCCAATGATCGAACAACCATTGGTGTACTAAGAGGATGACATTTATCCATTCGGAAATTTTTAAGTAATTTCCGTGTATATGTGGATTGGTGTAACAGGATACCACCCTTAAGGTGTTCGATCTGTAAGCCAAGACAATACTTTGTTTTGCCTAGGTCTTTCATTTCAAAAGTATTCTTAAGGCTTTCAGATATCCCAGCGATCTCTGCAGGAGATCCAATGAGATTTAAGTCGTCGACATAGACGGCGACTATAATGAATCCTGTTCCCGATCTTTTTATAAAGATACACGGGCAGACTTTATCATTTGTGAATCCTTGCGTAGCAAGGAACTCACTTAGTCTGTTATACCACATTTTCCCCGATTGCTTAAGACCATATAATGATCTTTGAAGCCTAACAGAATAGACGTCCCGAGGTCTATCTGCTATCTCTGGTGGAATTTTATATCCTTCAGGGAGTTTCATATAGATATCTTTATCTATATTGCCATATAGATATGCAGTCACAACGTCCATGAGCTGCATTTCTAGGCCTTCCAGAGATGAGAGGCTTATTAGGAATCGGAAGGTATTCCCATCCATAACCGGAGAATATGTTTTTTCATAGTCTATTCCCGGTCTTTGGGAAAAACCTTGTGCTACAAGCCGTGCTTTGTAGCGCACAACCTCGTTGTGTTCATTTCTTTTTTTGATGAAGACCCACTTATATCCACAGGTTTTACACCTTCAGGTGTTTGGACTACATGTCCAAAGACTTCGCGTTTTAAGAGTGAGTCCAGCTCTACTCCTATTGCCTCGTTCCACTTTGGCCAATCGTCTCTACGTTTACATTACGCTAGAGACCGTGGTTCGATGTCATCGTCGTATTCAGTGACGTGAACGGCAATATCGAATGCAAAGTCGTCGTCGACGACTGTGTTTTTTCTGTTCAGTACCTCCTCAGTACGTACAAAATTTAATGATGTTTCTTCTATTTGTTCCTCTTCAGGGGAATCTAGGAGGGGAGAGGAAGCTGGTCTGAGCTCAGTATCCTGTGTTGGGTTCATCTTTATTTCTCCAGGATTTTTTCTTTTACGAGGGACTTTGTCCTTCGAACCTGGTGGACGTCCTCTTTTCAATTGAGATACAGCCGTTTCTGCTGCCGGCGGATTACATCCATCTTTGGGGATGTCAATCCTAGCTGGCGTGTTGACAGTAGGGACGTGTGATCTGACAATCTTCTGGTTATCAGTGAATTTATCCGGAAGTAAATGTACTGTATTCTGAAGATGAAGAATCTTCAGGATCTCATCTTCACATTGACTAGTACGCGAATCATAATGAGACAAAGTCTTGGTGTTCCAAGAAATGGTCTTATAAGCGTCAGGCTTCCTGGACTGTGTTCCAAGTTTAGGAAATGAATCCTCAACAAATTCACAATCATCAAGACGTGCCTTAAATGCGTCACCCGTCTGGGGTTCAAGGTATCTTATTATAGAGGGCGAATCAAACCCTATATAGATACCCAAACGACGCTGTGGACCCATTTTGGTCCTTTGTGGAGGAGCAATTGGGACGTAAACTGCACAACCAAACACTCTCAAATGTGAGATATTCGGAGGTGCACCATAAGCAAGCTGCATTGGTGACAAAATATGGCCACCAGAGGGTCGTATTCTGATAAGCGAAGCGGCATGCAATATGGCATGACCCCAAGCCTCAACAGGCAACTGTGATTGCATCAACAATGGACGAGCAATCCATTGCAATCTCTTAATTAGAGATTCTGCTAACCCGTTCTGGGTGTGAACATGTGCTACAGGATGTTCAACTTCGATGCCAGTTGCTAGGCAATAGTCTTGAAAGACTTGTGAAGTGAATTCTCCCGCATTATCAAGACGTAATTTCTTGATTTGATTATCGGGGAAATGAGCCCGCAACTTAATAATTTGTGCCAATAGCTTTGAAAAAGCTAAGTTGCGGGTGGACAAAAGGCACACGTAAGACCACTTGGTTGATGCATCTATAAGTACCATAAAGTACCTAAATGGTCCACTTGCGGGGTGAATAGGCCCACAAATATCGCCATGTATTCTCTCCAAGAAGCTAGGAGACTCTAATCCCACTTTCAGAAGGGAAGGTCTCGTGATCAGTTTACCTTGGAAACAAGATAGACATGAGTAATCACCCTTCTGAAGAATCTTCAGGTTCTTCAGGTTGTGTCCACTTGATTGGCTCATGATGCGGTGCATCATTGCTGATCCTGGGTGACCCAGTCTGTTATGCCAAAGTTTAAATTTCGTCGAAGAATGGCACTTCTGGTGCACAATCATGTTAGCTTCTACTGGTTGAATATATGTATGATAGAGACCCGACGGGAGTCCCTTGAATCGTTCTAAGATAGTTTTTGAACCATCTTTTTGACGAGTTACATACAAATACTCATCCTCATTTATATCATTGGTTTCTAAGTGATATCCGTTTAAACGAATATCCTTGAAACTTATGAGGTTTCTATTAGATTTCGGAGAGAATAATGCATCTTTTATTATTAGTCTCGTTTTATTTGGGAGCAATATCATTGCTTCACCAAATCCTTCTATTATGTTAGATAGTCCCGAAATCGTAATTACGGGATCGTCATAATCATATAAGCTTTTGAAATAGCTTCTTTCGCGAAGGATTGTGTGCGTCGAGGCACTGTCCACAAGGCACTCACACTTCATCTATAACATGAATGCAATATTTTAATCTAAAGAAAATAACTATCTTTATTGAAAAGTAAAGTGCATTACATGGAAAGTAAAGAACTAAAGATGAAAGTACTATGAGAATTTAAATGCATATAAAGATAACATGGATCTAGTCGAGAAGATCATCCATTTCGAAGTCATCAGCAGTGAACTGAGTAGACGGCTGCTTTTCCACCAGATTTGTTTCAACAGGAGACTTCTGGCTCGCTAGATACAGATCTTGGAGGTGTCGCGGAGTGCGACAGTTTCTGGACCAATGTCCAGTCATGCCACATCTGTGGCATTTGTCCTCCCAAGTGTTCTTGGGAATGGACGACAGCTCAGTGGTCTTCTTCTTCCACTTCTTCTTTCCCTCACTATTGCTGCTCTGGGGAGGGTTGTTTTTCTGGGGTGGACATCTGGCCTGCCACTTAGGGGCTTTCCCCTTGTTGAATTTACCCTTATGCTTTTTCTTCTGCTTCTGGGAAGTAAACATGTGAGCTTCGGGTAGAGGAGCTGAGCCTGCAGGGCGTAGGTTATGAGTGGCCAAAAGCAATTCTCTGTTTTGCTCCGCCATCAGAAGGGTGGAGTGCAATTCAGAATACTTTTTGAACTTTCGTTCGCGGTACTGTTGCATGAGGATTGCATCCTTCTCGTGGAAGGATGTGTAAGTCTTCTCCAACATGCGTTCCTCCGAAACTTCTTCACCACACAACTTCAGGCGTTAGGTGATATTATGAAGTGCTGAGTTGTACTCAGCTACGGACTTAAAGTCCTGAAGTCGGAGGTTTTCCCACTCATAACGTGCACGTGGGAGGATCACATCTTTCTGATGTTTGTATCGGTCCTCAAGTGCAGTCCACAATTCCTTTGGGTCCTCTACAGTCAGGTATTCGGCCTTCAGGGTCCGATCAATATGTCTCCTGATGTAGATAATGGCTTTCGCCTTATCTATATCAGAGACAATCACTGTAGTAGCAACCTCAGCATTATTTACAGCATTACCCGTAACAGTGGCCGGAGCCGGTGGAGCAGGAGTTGAAATTGTGGCTAATAAGCCCTGGGCACGTAAGTGGAACTTTAGGTCCACTTGCCAACTCAAATAATTCTTGCCAGCAGCGTCAAGGACTTCGAAATCAACGCTCACTATTTTAGCCATTTTATCTATGCATTTGAAAGACATGAATTAATAATAAGGAATTAAAAATTCATGCAATAAACATGTTGCGTGGATCAGCCCGTTACCAAAAAAGTGTCCAAAGTCCGATTATACAGTCTAAAGATAACAAAAAACATAAAATTAAAATACAATTTGGAAAACCCTTGGGGGTCCCTGCATTTTGCAAAAATGCCTTCGTCTTCAATGGAATACACCGGTCTTTAACTTTTTACAATTATATCCTCACTACAATTTCTCTATCAGAAGGAAAAGAAAATGCAAGGAATTTAAATTTGGTGACAAACAGGCTGATCCAAAAACCACAACATGAAAAGAAAATGCAAGGAATTTAAATTTGGTGACAAACAGGCTGATCCAAAAACCACAACATTATTTATATAAACATCTACGCAATTTAATAATAATATATGCAACAGGCATAACAATTGCGCAACATCTCAGGCATATAATTAGATATAACCTAAATATTTAATAATTACGTGGGCCACGAGTAGACATATCATACGCACCGTTAGTTTTAGATTACTAATGGCAGAGCGATCTCAGGACCTTCCGTAATTATTAAACATGAAAAATCTAAAGATGTTGCATGTGGATAGGTTTTGAGAGTTAGGCTCTGAGACGTGTGCATGGAACTATGATGGCGACAGTGCAAAACCTACATGCTCTAACTTTTAAGATAAATTTTTTATTTTTATTTATATAACTGTTTTTCCGAATTTTAATCAACAACTAATTAATCCTATGAACATTTATATCTCGGATGAACAGTAACTGCTTTGGATGAAGAGTAACCGTTTTTAACATAAAATTAAAACTGTTTTAAATGAACAGTAAAATCTTTATATTTGGAATGAACAGTAACAGTTAATTTTTTTTAAATAACAATTAACTAATAGTATTAATTACTAGTTATGCCAACAAATAATGAAAGCAATTAGATTAGATGAACACCAATAATATTGCTTAATAAATAGAAAAATTCCCGAGTGAACAGTAACCCTCGGTGAACAGTAACAAAATTTTCCCTTTTTTCTGTTGATTTTCTAGCTGCCATATATTATTCTACGGATTATAGTAATTACCTCTAGATCAAAGATCTAGGGACGATCGATACTAAAGATCCGTAGAACGCTGCCTCCTTGCGATGATCCGTCGAACGCTCCCGCTGCAACGAACCAGATCTCAATGTGCAAAAGAGGAAGGAAGTATTTTTTTTTATGGCTCAGGGATTCAAGAACACTACGTGCTGATAACGTGTTTGAAACCCATCCATAGGCCAAATGCCTATGATATATATTTATACTAGTCAATGTGAATAGGTTGAGTACCCAAGAGTCACCCACGCTTAGTGGGGTGTTACACAATCATAATGGGGTGTGAATGGAGGGATAATGAGGGGAGGCCAAAGGCCTCCCTCATCTCATAATAAAATTAATATATTAATAACGCAATTTATTATGTATAATGCACACCATTAAATAAGAAAGGGACAGAGAGTGAGATGGAAAAAATCCTAAAAAATCGAAACTGAAGCTCTCGATCCCTCTTTAATGGCGTATCGAGCAGACGACGACTACGATTACCTCTTTAAGGTCGTCTTGATCGGCGATTCCGGCGTCGGGAAGTCCAACCTCCTCTCTCGATTCACGAGGAACGAGTTCAGCCTCGAGTCCAAATCCACGATCGGCGTCGAGTTCGCCACTCGAAGCATTCACGTCGACGACAAGGTCGTCAAGGCTCAGATTTGGGATACTGCAGGTCAAGAGAGGTTAGGTCTCGATCGAGATCCCTTTAGATCTCAAATTTCGATCCAGATCCCTTTGGAACGGGAAATTTGGTGGCTTTGACGGTTTTTTTTTCTCGAATCTTGATTCCTTTAGATCTAGGATTCTAGAACTGTAGATGGATGCTACTTTGGTATAGTTTGATTGATTTTTAGGGTTTTCCCCTCATTTTGCAGGACATTCTAGAGGAAGATCCTATATTTATTTCCATTTTCTCCTTTTATGGTTTCTTAAATGGATTGGGTAAATTAATGCTTTGTTTAGTTAATTTGGTATGCGATGAGTCTAGAAAGTGTAACTTAATTATTATGATTTCACTCTTTGTAGCGAAAAACTGCATAGCAAATCAACAAGAAACACATTGAGATGTCTTTAACCAAATGCATCCACTAAAAGCAGTTTGTAGTGTTAATTGCACATGAGATAGACTATCCGCTTCCTTAAGGTTTTATAAGTATCGGGGGATTCAGATTGCATTGATGTCTCTGATCATTGTCAAAGGGATTATGTAACATATTACTTTGATTTGAACTGTATTATCAGTATGGTATAAGAGAAATTAGATACACAAAGACAACCAAATAGATTATGTTGTGGTTCGTTTAGTTACACATTGACTTGATGTATAATTGATCTGGGCTATAGCTTTCTGCAGGCTTCCTCTAACAACTAGCTTTTAGTTATCAACTATTTTTAAGGATGAGTTCTCCTAGGTCTCTAACAATGGTAGCACATGCATTTTTGTACCTCCAAATGCAATTGTGCAGCATGAGTGGTGATGCCGGAGTTGCATTGTGCCCCTTGGAATGGACGCTAGTGCAAAGCCAAAGTGGTGCAGTTGCTTTCAATGTGTTCAACCTGGATTAGACTAGTTTAAAGCGGGACTATTTGGGCACTGGAGAAATATGGTGGTGCGCATTGGCTATGTCTACAGTGGGTTTATAGATTTAGGGGTTCGTCCACTAAATGTCCTGTTTTAGTGGTTAGTTATCCTAGATATCAATCAGGTAGACTATAAAACGTATGACCATGACTTGAAATGCATTATCAGTATGGTTGAAGCAAGATTTTTATCTTGTTGTGTATCACTAAGTGCTTGCTTTATTTGCATAGACCCTTATTATCACCTAAACTGACGAGCCTTTGAATACTATAACTGTTAAATGCATCTTTATTTGCTTGATTATGCCATATGGCGAAATTAGGACAGGTTCGTAGGGTCGAAAAATTGATGTTGGATTGATTCTCTTGTTTTAAGAAATGGGTTTGATCGCTTGGTACGAAACCCTTACAATCGCTCACACACTCTCTCGATTACAGATGAAGAGAAGATTAATTCAGCTTCTCTTTGTTTAACGTGGGTTCTTGGTGGGGAAAGGATGCTTCCCTCGATGTTTGAGTCGAGATTGCCCCCCGTTGACGATCAGAACAAGATTGCTGGAGCTTCTGACGTTCGTTAGGCTGCTAGAATCGAGGTTCGAATTCTAGGTCTAAAACGCAGGAGCTTTGATTTCTGATGATTATTTAAGGCTTTAGAAGTCCGAATCAATCAACCAAACTCATAGTTGCTTGCGGCTATTTATAGAGCTTTAGCACGTAATTGACGTGCTACAATCGTGGGGTCGTGGGCGTAATCGACTCCTGAGATTTAGCCCATGTTGATTAATGGAGCGTAACTTACTCCTTAGATTTAGCCCACGTGGGCTGACTTGGTCCTCGTGGTCGTTACAGCCGAACTTCGTGTGTATGATGAGCCTCGTTGCGTGGCGAAGTTCGTTAGACAAGTTGTGTCTTCGCTGACGAGCTTCGTCTTCACTGACGAGCTTCAAGTCTGACGATGAGCTTTGTCTTCACTGATGAACCTCATCTTCCAAAGATGAACGCCGAACCTCGTTTCCAATGACGAGCTTCGTCTCTAATGTCGAGTCTCATTTCCAATACTGAGCATCGAACCTCGTTTCAAATGACGAGCTTTGTTGTTTGAGACGAGCTCCGTTATTGTAATGACTCTCGTCATGCTTGTTATGAGCTTCAACGCTCTAAGACCAAATGATTAGCCGATGATCTATGAAGATCCATGAGAGTGGAGGAGAGATAGGCTTTTCGACTAGCCTCTCCATCTCCTTCCTTTCATGTTGATCATGCCTATTTATAGGCTTAGGACCATTATGGAGTGAGTTAATGGGTTTTAACTTCCCTTATAATGAGAGAGTTATGATTATTAACTCCTATTTAAATGAGTAAGTTAATGATCATTAACTCTCCTTAAATGTGTGAGTTATGAGTCATTAACCCTGCTTAAATGTAACCTCTAGAAATGGTGACAAACGAGGTTCGTCAATAACGATAACGGTGAACTTCGTCTTCAATGACGAACTTCGTTTCTGGCGAACTTCGTCTTTAATGACGAACTTTATTTCTGGGTAAACTTCATCTTCAATGACGAAGTTCGTCTTTTGAGAGATGAGGTGCCGTTTGACGAGGTTCGTCTGTGGATGAACTTCGTCTCCTGAAAGGGTTTCATTTCCTAGAGGAGTTTTGTCCCCAGTGATGAACTTTGATGTCGAGCCTCGCTGCATGGTGAACATTGTCTTTTGATTTCGAGCTTCGCTGCATGACGAACCTCGTCTTTTCATGTCGAGCTTCGCTGCATGACGAACCTCGTCTTTTGATGTCGAGCTTCGCTGCATGGCGAACCTCGTAGGCTAAGCTGTCAGGTGAGCTTCAATCAGTTCAGGTACGCTAAGTTGTCAGGCGAACTTAGCATTGCATGCAAACTTCAATATTCAGGCGAAGTCCAGTCTTGCAGGTGGGTTTCAGAACATGCTGCGAAGAACGGGTCATAACTTTCAAACCGTAAGTCGGAATTGGACGAATTATATATGAAAATCGACTATCTCGACGAGACGGAGCCAACCAAACCAACCCCAAAGGGTTCGGTTTGCTCCTGTCCGTTTCGCTAAATTCCTTACGGTTTGAGAGATATTAGCGTTTTTGTCAGTTTTGAGCTTCTTTGCTAGGAATTAAGGCAAATTTTATTACCTACAAGGTTCTCTCAAGTCACCCATATTAACACCTTGACAGCTTAAAGGTAGCATAGGAGAGCCTAGTTACTCACTCGTGTGGTGCCTAGGCATTTTTGGACCCCATTATCCTGTTTACCTTGCTTAATTAGCGCCTGTGTGGGCCATCAATTTTAAACATAGACTTGTAAGTGGATTCAACCTGATAAATCCAGGACCTTTACACCATAATTTGTTGGAGCCTAAGATCTTTCTCAGCCCTTTCTATCTGTCCTTGTCTCCTCCACACTCAGACTTCTCTCTCTTAAATATATACCTCCTCTGTGCATCTGCTCTGCACTAACCATCTTTTATGGCTGATGTTGCTAACAATGAAGTCTTAAATACTGAAAAGAGTAACTTTATTGTTCAATGTAGTTTTATGTGCAATCACTTTAAAACTTTGACTTAGTTTTGTTCTTCTTCCTCTATCTTCTATCGTTTCTTCTCCACTGCCCTTATCTTCCTCTCACAACTTCCATCTGAAGCTTTTTTTTAATTATTTTTTTTGTATGTGGAGGCAGTTGCCGCCTCTGTCTGAGAGTGCTGCATTTACTGACTTCCCGTGAGACTGCTGCTTTTGTCATTGCCATATTGCCTTTCCACTTCTTGTACTCCGGCTCTTGGAGTTACTGCATCACTACTGAAACTGGAACAATGAAATGAAAAATGAAAACTAGTTTTCTTGTTCATATAAGTAACTAATTTCTCTTCTTTTCTTTTACATATTTGCAATTTTCTTATCTTAAGCATTTACGCTTATTTTTTTAAAAAAAAGTATAAGTGAAAAGATGCCTTGCGATGCCTAGGCATTCGCTTGAGTGTCTGGGTGTTGGACCCAATGCCCTACATTTTCTGAAACAATGGTTGACCATATGACAATCTTGAGGAAGTTCTTTAGTTGTTATTTCATTTATCGTTGGTTATTTTAATAGTCCAAAGCCACAAAATGGTTATATTGAGATTTTGTATGACCATTATGTTTAGCAGGCCTTATTTTTTCATGAAAACTATAGGACTTGATGTAGTCCTTGTGGTATTAACTCATAGATTGCCTTACATCTGCAATAATGTAGTTCTTAGTATCTTGTCAGCTATAGAAAAGGATGCATCTTTTTTCTGACAATGGATATGCAGAACCTGTTTTTTTTATGCATGTTAAATTTATCTCTTGATCTCTATCATATATTCATATGTTTCAAAAATTATTTAAACCTCAAATGGTCTTAGGAAAGAAGTACAATTGAATTCCTACCATAAGCTACATTTATTTAAAGCTTGCAGGGTAAAGAAATTGTGATAAACATGTATTTATGCTTAGCCTGCTTATTGACTGCACTAAAAGCAAAACCATAAGCTACATTTCCTATTTTCGCTCTAAGATGGACATTTAACACTAAAGATTCCTTACCAATGGCTTAATTCATTATTTGTGATATATTCTATTTGGAGTAATGCTGGAATAATGCTTCGTATAGATACATCATACATATTGGTGCTGGTTAGGAATTTCATGAGATTGTAATTGTCTTGACTTTCCCTCAGGTTTGTTTTAGTTTGAATGCTACCTATTCCCTTGCTAACTGTTTCTAAATTCGTTTTTTCCCTCTAAAGATACCGTGCCATCACAAGCGCATACTATCGAGGAGCTGTGGGTGCACTCCTTGTCTACGACGTCACTCGCCACGTAACCTTCGAAAATGTCGAAAGATGGCTGAAAGAACTCCGTGACCATACCGACACCAACATTGTGATCATGCTGGTAGGAAACAAGGCGGATCTTAGGCATCTGAGAGCAGTCTCGACTGAGGATGCCAAGGCCTTTGCTGAGAAAGAGAACACATTTTTCATGGAGACCTCTGCTCTTGAGTCTATGAATGTAGAGAATGCCTTTACCGAAGTGCTAACTCAGATTCATCGGGTGGTGAGTAGGAAGGCACTTGAGGTTGGTGATGATTCAACTACGTTGCCAAAGGGTCAGACTATTAATGTTGGAAGTAAAGATGATGTATCGGCTGTGAAGAAAGCAGGGTGTTGTTCAGCTTAGGTGTTAGAAATAGCGTAAGAAAATCCTATAGAAGGCCCTCTATAGAATATTGTATAGTGAGGACAGGGAGTTGACCCCTAAATATATCATGAATCTTGATGCACATATGACCAATGTATATCAGAGCGACTGCATCCATGCCCTCTTCCTCCCTATACTATATTCTATATTTTATAGGAGACCCTCTATAGAATCCCCCCCCCTCCCCCCCCTAGAAATAGAATAACACTTTTCTTTTTCGTTTTTTGCTGCAACTCTATTAATCAGATTTATGATGTTCTTCTACATTCCTCTGATTCATATATATGTAGATGAGAGAGATTAGGGTTCAAATATGTATTATTGCTTTTAATGGTGATGGTGATTGCTTTTGTTGCTTAGAATCACTTGCGGATGAAAGTGTGTATGCATCTTTCGAAGGTTTTGTTTTCCTTGCTGCATCTTTTGCTTGTGTTTACCTTTTTTTTTATCTGGGAATTGTTTTAAATGAAGATTTCATCTTTTTGAACCAGTTAATATAATATGCAAGGCTCAAGGGTTTGCTAGCACCGATCTCAGTTTATGTGAGATCATTTTTTTGTAGTTTGTTGTACCTTTAAGCTGTATGGTCTTCGAGCAGAGAAGGGTGTGAAGAACTCAAAGTCTTCAATAAGATTTAACAGGATTTTAATTCCAGACCTCTCTATAATAACGCTTTAACACAGTGTCATGCTAACATTTGCACAAATAAAATGTTACAACGGTGTCACACATAGTAATAAATACATGACTATTTTCTGTACAAAATTAAAGTCCAGGTTTCTTTCCCACCCTGAGGATCCGAAACTACGACTTCTTGATCAACAGCCATTCCTTGATACAGGTTGCATGATCCCCCTCCTACAAGAAGAAACCACGGACCTCTTGAGCTTAAACATAAATACGTACGAGACATCATTATTGATCAAATCGATAAAAGAGGGAAAAACTCCACCCTGCATGTAGCACAAATTTTCGTCCACCGATCGAGACGAGATATTTGATAGCGAGAGACTTGAAGGCGGTTCTTCTAAGTGTTGAATCTTCTGACAAGCCGGTGCAGACACGTCCAGTGTGTTCTCCCCAAGTCTAGAAGGTCCTGCATCATTATACGTAGACATGGAAAGTCCTTTTGTTGAAATACAAATTATAACTCTCAACGTTCATCATAACTTTGGAGTTTCGGTCTAAGGGAAGAGATGTTAAGATGGTATCGAAGTTGTCGAACTTACACGACCCACTGAGAACATATTTAAAGAGGATACTTTTGCATGACGGGTGCAAGTGTTTGAAATAGCCGAATTTTCATCAGTGAAAGGGATCAACAACCCAGAAGAGCATGGTAGAGTGTAAAATTATAACTCTCAGCCCTCTAGTAAATTTGGACTTTTTGGTCCAACAAGGAATCCTGAGTAATCCACGTAACAAGTCCCACTAAGAACACATTTAAAGAGGATATTTTTCTATAAAGGGTACAATTGCTTCAATTAGCCCACATTTGGACCCATGAAAAGGATCGTCAACCCGCGGAGCCATGTTAAGGTACACAATAATAAATTATAAACTTACCGTTACTATAACTTCAAAAAGTTTATTCTAACAGAAAAGATTTGTACTAGAGTAATCGAAGTTCAAATAAACTCAACCCTCACTACAACCTTAACGCTTTGTTTGGTGTGCGGGAATTGAGTAAGTGAGAATGGAATGGAATAAAGTTATAACAATCATTCTATTCCTTGCGCTTCTTTGGGAGCTCGAACACTAATGTTGGGAATAGAGGAGACGTGGAAACATTTAACAAACTTCAGAATAGTTTAGTAGAATTCGCGGGGTTAGTTCACAATGTATCTCTCAGAGATCTATGTAACAAAGTGTTTGGAAAGAAGTAAAACGCAAAAATATCCATCTACAGCCTTCTCTCTCTCTCTCTCTCTCAAAGTTCTAAAAATCACTGATATAGTTTTACAAATTTTCTTTGCTTCTTTTATCTAGGCAACATCATCCTAGTAGACACTTGAGAAGTTCCGTATCCTCAAGTGTTGGTCTTATCCGGTGGCTTTTACGATGATGAGATTGATACGAGTCACCGTGCGAGTACCCTTTGGTCACGGAATTACCAAAAGGTGGGTTGAGAAGAAGACAACTAAAACACAAGATAATTCAGTATGACGAAAAAAAAATACCTTCTTCTAGATTACGAAGAACAAAAGATTACAATCTCTCCCTCACAATCTCACTAGAATCGAGAACAGCCTCTCAATCCTCTCTAAACCATAATTCAAAGATTAGAATCTCTCCCTGATCTAAGATCATAAAACTGATCATAAACTGATCATCAAGTGATGTTTAGAAACCCTAAACAACCATTTATATAGGTGTACAAACGTGGATGGTAATCTGGTAAATAACCAAGCCCAAAACCAACAGGAATTCGTGTGAACAGAAATCCAAATGAATCAGGAAACTGTCGATGAGTCGACTCATGACTGAGATGAGTCGACTCGTCCGAAACTGGACAAAACACAAAACCCAGCAATGAGTCAACTCATAACTGAGATGAGTCGACTCATGACACATGGGTCGACTCATAACTGATGAGTCGTCTGGTCAGAGCTGAATTTCTAACAGGGCTTGAGTTCTTGAGTCGACTCATGACAGGCACGAGTCGACTTAACCTGATGAGTCGACTCATGTACATGTATGAGTTGACTCACGAGCTGAAAACGGGATTCTTCGAATCTGCTGCTCGCCGTCTCATTCCACGCTTCCTCCTGCGTTCCACTGTACTGTTTTACACCCCTATTCTCATGCTATCATGAGAATCATCTATCCTCAAGCTCCCATGAAGATCGCTAAGCTCCCGAAGCAGAGAAGAAGATACACACGTATCAGAGATGGATCACTGTTAAAAGCCTATGTGAGGGCTGACGTCTGTCTTTCTAGATTGTTAGGAGAATGTAGAAAATTGCAATTTAATAAATGAATGAAGAAAATAAAACTAATGATCACCAGCCTGTGGGGTGGAGCCGTGTAAACACTATCCTAGGAAAATAGTCGTCTGCCCTTGCATAGGCTTTTCAAAACGATCTGTCTCCTAGCGATAAAAAACCCTTGGATAAGACCACCACCTGAATATGTGGTGATTTCTCAAGTCTTTGCTCAGATGTGACACAACGCGGAAGTGATAACCTCAGAATTCACCAAGGGTGTTCTCTGAATCCACAAAGAACGATCTTCGAATCCACGAAAAACTTCGAATCCACGAAGAAAATATTAAAAAAAAATTATTGATGAAAAGTTATTCTCCTTTGGGGTTACATGACTCTTATTAAATAGAAAAATAAATAAGACTCCTAGTAAGACTAGAATTACAAAAATAAAAAGTATCAAATAAGACTCATAGTAAGACTAGAATTACTAAAAAAAGTGTCAAAATTCTATCCTAAAAAAGACTCCTTATAATAGAGGAAACAAATCATGAATCAAAATTAATTTTATTTTCTAATCTAATTTGACTCTAAAATTAAATTTATTTCCTAATCTATAATTCCTAATATAAATAGACTCCAACTCAGATTAAGCGTCCTACATTAGTCTCCCCTTGTTGAAAGAAGCTCGACTCCGAGCTTATATTTGTTAGAATAGTAGCTTCATTGATAAATAATTTTCTTCTCTTGCAATGATCAACATCCGCCTTGTATTTAGTATTGATTTTCTCCATTTGTTCTTTTACCTCCTCTGTTCTTGCAATGATCAACATCCGCCTTGTATTTAGTATTGATTTTCTCCATTTGTTCTTTTACCTCCTCTGTTAGGACTTCTTTTGTATCAAACTTGTGTATGAATCTTTTCCATGATAAGTGTATGTAACTGACAACATGTGGCTCTGTAGTTAACATGAAAAACCCCTCCAAATATTTTCCTTGTTGCTTCCCATATTCTAGTGTCGACGGTATCATCTCACCATTGTTAAAATTATTGATGATTATTGCTTCAAAAATAATAATTTTCTTCCTCATACTCCATACACAATTCTTTTATCTCCTTTATCTCAATCTCTCCACAAGCAATGCACACATACCATCAATTGTCTCACTCTCTATTTTATCTTTCTCCTCCATTAGGACAATATCAATATGTGTAACATCACTCGTAATATTTGAGCTTTTCGGAGGGTACATTACCAATGAGATACCTGAGTCTGCCTTTGACAACAAGAAGGATAACACACTTTGAATGTTCTTCTCTTATAAGAAAAATTACCCACCAATTTCAAAGCTGGCAACAGAATAGGAACCTATCCTATGCGGGGAGAATTCAAATGATTAAATCAGTCATTCCGGGGATACAAACTTTTTGGTTCAGGAATTATATTCTGCCGACTAAGATTCTTGAAAAAATTGACAGGCTCTGCTCATCCTTTCAATGAGACCAGAAAATTCATTTAATATCTTGGGATTCAGTATGCCTGGGTAAGAAACAGGGGGGCTTGGGTCTGTTTTCAGCCAAATTATGGAACCAAGCAGCTGCTGTGAAGTTACTATGGATGATTCATCAAAAGAAAGACATTCTCTGGATCAAATAGATCCATGGTCATTATCTAAAAAATTCAAGTGTTTGGCAAATTCAACAGAGGGATAATGACTCTTGGATGTGGAAGCAACTCCTCAAAACTAGAAACATGATCCTAGATAAGTATGGCAATGTAATAATGTGCTGAACACTCTTAACAGCTGCAGTAATAATGGTAAACTTCGACTATCTCTGGTATACAATATCTTAACTCATTCCTCTTCTACAAAAAACTGGGCTGAAACTACTTGGGGAAGACTGAATTATCCCAAGCATTCAATCATCCTTTGGTTAGCCTATCATTCCAGGCTTCTCACTCAGAAAAGGTTGTGTCGGTTTAGAATTCTTAACACAAATTGCTGTGTTCTGTGTTCTAGACAACCGGAAAATTGCAAGCATTTATTCTTTGATTGTCAGTATTCGGCTGAAGTATGGAACAATGTAATGGATTGGATGTGATTTACATGGAGAACCTGTACTTGGGATCAACTCAGTAGATGATATTCTAGCTGTTTGAAAGGAAAAGGGTTTAAGAAGGATTTGAAGAGAATAGCTCTATCAGTGGCTGTTTACTTAATCTGGCAAGAGAGAAATGTCAGGATCTTTCAGGGGAAAGCAAGGAATTCTGGTACTCTCTTCCGTGCTATCAAACTCTCCATCTTTTCTAAAATTTTGAATGATGATTTTCCTGCACATATAAAGGAAATGATAGTAAAGTTGTAACTATGTAATTTCTCTTATTTGCCAGGTTAATAATCCTGGTTTTTGATGTACAACACTTTTACACACTTGGAAGATGAATAAAGCATTAATTCATTGACCAAAAAAA